CATTCCTGGAGATACAAAGCACTTACACATTTAACCTCAGCCTAATATTAATCGCCTGCTTTCATCGCTTTTAAGGAAAACCTCAAAATATGTTTCAGTCCTCAACACCTCCCCAGGATTTGAATCATCCAAGTGTCTTTGCCTGTGCCTCAGGCTCCCAGTTTTCCACCCTCTTTTGGCTTGAAGAGGGCAGAGGCTGAGCTCCTGTCATAGAATCATAGAATGATTTGTGTTGGAAGGGACCTTAAAGAACATCTGGTTCCACCTCCTCCTCTCCCCTTTATGGGAAGGGACACCTCCCACTAGAACAGGTTGCTCCAAGCCCCATCCAACCTGGCCTTGAACACTTCCAGGAAGGGAGCAATCACAGCTTCCCTGGGCAGCCTGTGCCTGTGTCTCACCACCCTCACAGTGACAAATTTCTTCTTAATGTCTAATCTAAATCTTCCCTCTTCCAGTTTAAAGCCATTACCCCATATCCTACCACTACACATCCCTGTAAAAAGTCCCTCCCCAGCTTTCCTGTAGCTTGTTCAGGTACTGGAAGGCTGCAAGGAGGTCTATCTGGAGCCTTCTCTTCTCCAGGCTGAACAACCACAGCTCTCTCAGCCTATCTTAGTAAGAGAGTTGCTCCAGCCCTCTGACCATTTCATGCCCTCCTCTGGACTTGCTCCAACAGCTCCGTGTCCTTCTTACATCCAGGGCTCCAGAACTGGACACAGTACTCCAGGTAGGGTCTCTGCCCTGCTCCATGGGCTCTGATGCTGGCCTTAGTGAGGGGAAAAGCCCAGCTCACACCAGCACCTGCTATTCAGCCTTCTTGCTTGCAGATATGGCAGATTATCCTTTTTAAAGGAAAGGTGGTTTCACCACAACCAACAGCAGCCTTAGTTGGGGGAGAGATGCACAGGTCCCCAGGACATAGGTACAAGTGTTGGGGCTGCTATAGGGACTGAGGTTTCCTCTTCAGCATCCCTGCAACACAGCAGTGCAGCCGCAGAGGGACAAGCTGCTCCAGGTGTAATGGGGGGCTGGCTTGGCCCTGCCCCTGATTCCCAAGTCATGTTTCTCCCTGCACCAGATCCGGAGCTGCAGCCACGCGTGACCGTGGGGGCTGCTGTCCTGTCAGTCAGGCTTGCTGGGCAGCATCTACACTCCCACTGCACGAAGGACAACATAAAAACAGATCCTGAGAGAGCTGTCCTCCCTCTCCACGGGTCCATGGACTAAATATGACCAGCAAGGTCAGGCTAATAAACTCAACTTCTTTCTTTGTCACTCAAAACCTGTCAATCCTTAAGGTTGATTTTATGCCCCAAATTATGTGGTGTTTTGTTTTGTTTTGTTTTTCATTTATCTCCAGATAATAAAGTGCCCAGAACTGCAGTATAGCAAGGGTCAGCAATAATTTGTTGAAGTGGATATTGCTCTTCAGTGCAGACAGAAACCATTGTCCTTGCTTCCCAACCACAGCACATTGCAAACTGTGTGCCCTTTGACTGTTGGAGGAGGCAGCACCCGAACCTTCTACCATCTGAACACAACATGACATGGGAGCATCACCCTTGAACAGGGAACATTGCCAGGGCTGGACTATTACCTGCTTGGACAGAAGCTCTGAGGAGAAGGTCCCAGGAACTGGAGATGCCACAAACAGGGTGCACCATCTTCTCATGGCAAGCTGGCAGTGCAGGGGGGAAGGGAGTCTGTGGTGGTGGGTAAATACAGGGGGAGAAACTGGCCCTTTGGTGCTATCCCTTCCTTTGCAAAGGCACATGAAGTTGCTCTTCTGAAACACTTTTAAGAGCTGTTTTGGGCTAGAAGCAGAGACAGGGAAACCATTACAGCTCTGCCACTGTTTTAGGTGCTCTAGAGGGTGCTCTAGAGAAACCATTGTCCTAACCCAGTCTGGAGCAGGCCACACAGAGCAGTACTCAAAAAACTAAAGCAACATCTTTATTTTATACATAACCTCAGTATAAAAAGTTTATTACATAAGAGCTGTTTTGTTTACAATATATTATATTGCTTCAAGCTGATGCGGAAAGATCATACATTACAGTTCTACCTTTGTTTACAATATATTATGTTGCTTAAATGTAACCACCATAGTGTATTTTTAATACACAGTAGTTTTCAAAATTGTAAAGCCAAAAGTAACATTTAGTTGGGTTATCTAGTTCTTAAATTAGGTAAATTATTTATTTTATTTATTTTTCATAGGGGAAAGTCTAAATACACAACAGCAAAAATGTAAAAGACACCTTTCTTTTGTCTTAGGCAAATTAAATCTGTAGTCTGAAATGATTCAGGTTAGCATCTACAAGGTTTTCTGCTTGAATATTGTTACTTAATTTTTGGAAAATATTTGCAGCTATATAAACAAAAAAGGAAATTTAAACATAACTGGAGTACAAAACACCATCCAAAGCACTGAAAGAAGCTTATATAACCATGCTATAGGAGTATTTATAAAACTTAAAAGGACCAGTAAATATCAGCTCAGTGGTTTATAATGAAGCTAATAACATTCCAGCTGGTGATCTCAACTGTAACGAACAGCGTCTTAACATTCAATCCATGAGAGGTTAATGAAGGCTATGAACTTTCTGTAACACGAACTGTTTCAGATGTTGGAGCTCACCAGATATAATTTGATTCGGGTGGAACAGGCCTCTCCTCGGCCCTCTTGGGGGAAGGCGTGTGCTGCCTCTGCTTGCTGCCTGCTGGCCTCAGGGCACTCAGACCACTGGCTCCGTACCCTGGAAAAGTATCCAGTTCAAGAGAAAAGAAACCACAGAAGCGGGCTTGTGATCCTCTGCTAATATTTCAAGTGGAAACAGTCCCTCCTCGTTCGAGCAGAGGGTTTTGCTACACCTCGTGCAAACGCTCGCCCCTCTCCGTGCCCCCTGGGATGGATGAGGTGCTGCCAGATGGGCTTAATCACAGAAAGATGCTCCCTCCTTGCCTGGAACCATCAGCACACTCAGTCTGTGAGTCAGCCCTTGGCTCACACGTGCACAGCCCGTGCTGGTGGGTGAGAATCATGCTGATCTGCAGCAATGGGCTCTGAAGAGCCGGGTGAGCATCCCCCCAGGGAGAAGCTGCACCAGCTACCTGAGCTTGGCTTTGGTGTATGGCTGAATGCAAAGAGAAAGGACAGCAGGGACAATAAACACCTTGGGGGGAGGGGGGGCAGAAATCAGCAGCTAAAACAGGTTTAGCAGAGCTGCTTTGTTGTGGAGAATGAAAATGAACAACAAAAATGGAATTCAAAGTATTATGTTGTAATTATTTGTAGTTTCATTTACCCATCTCACTACCTGAAGCTCACGAAAATGACTTTGAAAACCTGAGCCTCATGTTCATCTTTTTAACCACTTCTTTTTAAGAAAACAGCTTTACTGAAGAACCATTAATTTGATGGAGTATGCAGCAAGTCTCTCAAATCAACTAGAAATCTCTCAAGTCAGGAGATGTTTGGTCGTAGTTTAAATGAGTAAATTGCAATGCGTACCGACTTGCACGTGCAATTTATGCCCTACGTAGGCACTTAAAATGGGGGAGAATTTTTTAAAGATGGCCTATTCTCAGTTTCTGTGCTAAACACAAAGAGACTTTTGCAGTGTTAAACACAGCAGGACTGTACCCAAACTTGAAGCGATTAAGGATGGAAAACCTCAGAGCCAACAATAAAGCATGGCTGTTGACTCCTCCTAACATGGTAGTTATGAGTTTTGGTTTTGCCATACAAGTATCTACTTCTTTAGGGATGTTCATCCATGGTACATATGCTTTTTCACTCTCTATCTCAGTTCTTTTTTATAAAAGTATTACAAGAAGAAAGAGCCTATATTGAGCTTATGAATTGAAGTTCATATTGATTTCAATTTTTTCTAACCATAACTTGTATTAATGGTATTTCTCCTTCATAGAACTACAGAAATACTTGAATACAGGTCCCAGAAAAGTGGACTCCCCAAACCTAATTTTCACAGCATAATCCATTTTAGTTAGAAAATGCTAATTTTATAATGAAACAACTATATTAATTCTAATACATTTTAATATGATAGAAATCACAGGCATCAACAGCGTTTAATAAAAATGATAATTCAGTTGATCCTGGAATGTAAGATTCATGTTTCTTGCAGCTAATCGGTGAGCTTTACAGCTGCAAATGTTTTTCAACTTTAAAAAAACATTACTGACACTTAAAACATGGAATGTGAATCAATAGCTAACAGTTTTGAAGATGAACGTTAATACCTCATGGGAGAATGTACAGAATGTCTCCTGAAGGCCTGCTATTGCACATTAAGTATAAAATTAAATCCAAAGTTCTTAGCCGATACTGCCTTTCAAATAATCTTATAGTGCTATTTTAAATCCAATGAAATGATCAGTTGCCTCACTGAGTGCCAAATGGGTCTATAAGCACAACAGAAGTTAATTTTAAGGACTTAAACTTTGCTTTGGGACAGTATCTTTTGTGGTCTGTGGAGAATGGATGGGGAAGAGAAGGTTAAAACTGAATTTGGTAAGCAGACATAGTACATAACTTTTCAAGTTTTCTCCAAAGTATCTAAAAGACTTTTTTTTTTTTTTCTAGGTTTTAATCAGCATTAAAACCTGACAGTTTTATTTCTAAGAATGCCAACCCAACAGTTCAAAACCAGCTGGTATTACTGGGGAGTACTGAAGGACTTTAGATCCCTTTCATAACATGGATGGAAGACACATGAGGTCATCTAGAAATATGGCTCATAATAGATTCTAGAAATTCTATCACAAGGGTGATCTTGTCAAAACACTTTTAAACAATTCTGAGGGTTTTTAAAGTAGTTAAAGTTACAGAGCATTGAAAATCTTAATTTTATTTTTTAGATTAAAGATTAGGAGAAATGGAGTGTGGTAACACCAGTGGTGCTGGAAAGGCTCTTGACACCATCATTTCAGTATGGCATTGGACATGTAAGACTCCCAGTACAGACCCTCAGGGCTTGTTTTTTCACTTACTTTTGTTGCAGTGTCTCCCATGCCAGCCCTCTTTGCACTGGCATTTGCTGGGCTCAGCACAGGTGCCATAGGGGCCGCAGCCGGGTTCGCAGACAGCTGTAAGAAAGTGAGCACATACACCTGACCTCTTGGCACCTCATCCAGAGGCAGAGTTGCATATTTGCTTTCCCTGCTTTTCCTCAAGAGGGGTTGGTCCCGGCCCGGAGCTCTCACAGCTAATCTGTGACTTTGCACTGAGTGTGCACAGAGCTCCAAAACATTCCGCCCCCCCCCCCCCCCTCCCTTCCCTCACACCGCAGCCCAGCCGTCCCG